TGCCATTTTCTGAAGCAGTTCTGGAAGTCCTCTTTCATGAGTGTTTTTACCAGCTGTGATAAAAATAAATACAGTGAATGCTGCCGCTAAGTGCCATCCAATTGAAAGAGAGGCTTGTCAAAACTCGGTGCATCTAGGGCTGGAGATTTAGCTAATGGCATAAGCACCTGTCTGACAAGCATGAAGTCCTGAGTTCAATTCCTGACACCAAAAAAAAAAAAAAAAAACGCAAAACAAAAAACACCATAATGTGTCTCATTGACCTTTTTCAGTAGGTCTGGAACTCTGTGAGTTCTGGCTCTACTACTAATCAAAAGGACCATGAAAGGTAAACATTTAAATCAGTCCAGAACATTGAGGCAATCATGATAGTGTAATTAACATCACATTTTAAAATCATCATTTATATAACCTATTGAACCTTTCAAATTGTTGAAGAAATAATTGCAAACTTTCCCTCTATCTGTCTGCATTATTTTAAACAGATCTTTTGTTTATATTTAAAAGACCTTTGGAAAAGAGTCTCAGCCTTGTGAATGGACAGACTCAATTTTAGCACATTTTAAATTAGCATCGAAAGAGGAATTAAACTTTCAAAATAAGGATGTTTCTAATGGATCTGATTAACTACATTTCATCGATCCTGTTAGATGTTGATGAAGGCACAGCTGGATAATTGCTAGCACTATAATAAATGGTGTGTTTTTTATTACATTCATTCTTAGAAATCATAGTGTCAAATCTAATCTTATAATAACAATTATAATGCTATTAGGAGTAGAGGAAAACTCCTGAAAAAATTAGACTGCCACTAAAATGGTTAGTGTTCTAATGTATAGCAATTTTGTCTCTCTTAGCGTAGAATTTCTTTGTTACTGCATTTGTGACTTGACCCCAAAGACATAGATTTGGTCTGAACCCCAAATGATGCAAAAAGATGTTAAAAGATTTTATTCTATACATGGTAAAAACATTTTTTTGGTTTGAATTGTGCTCTTTTTTTCTTTTCAATCCTAGAAGGTTTCTTTGTAAAACATGTACTAGGAGGAAAAATGTTAATTGAATCTTCTCATTTACACCTTCTATTTGTTTTCATTCCAGCTGTGTCTCCTTAGATACTGGAGAAGCCAGGTAAGTTTGCACTTAATGGTTTTAACTGATTAGACTTGCAATTTAATAAAACTGTTACAATCAAGAGGAAAGTTGTGAAAAAATCTTATCATGTGAAGAAAATAATTCTATCCTTGTGAGAAAAAATGCATGTTTTTATGTTTTATGTTTTTAATTTTTAAATTTTATTTTAAAAATAAAAGAAGGAAAACATAATAACAAACAGACATCCATTTAGAAAATAGCATAAGAACAATACAAGCAATAGAGAGTTACAAAGCGGTAGGAAATTAACAATGATTGTTGTAATATGTATTGATATCTTCAAAGTGATTTCACAGGAAAACAAATAGAGACATGCAAGATAGATCAAATAATTAATGATTAACTGTTCCTTTCAGTAAAGCAGTAGAAGTCAGTAGTACAACTATGTTAGCTACCCTTCACATACATACATACATAATTTCCTCTTCTTTCTTTTCTCTTTTCTCTCATCCCAGCTACTCTTTACTTTTGAGCGTTTTCCTTTCATTTCACAATATCTGTCATACTTGCTAATTTTTATTCACTCTTTCAGGTTCTTACACTAGTCAGACAATATATTGCTTACAGAGGGAGGTCTGGTTTATTTCACTTCTGAGTATGGTCTCTGTTTGTGACCACTTATCTGAAAAAGCCTTGAGTGTGTCTTTCTTTATAGTTGAGAAATACTCCATTATATAAAAGTATCACAATTTTTTTTATCCATTCCTCAGTGGATGGACATTTTGGTTGCTTCCACAATTTAGCAATTACAAATTGTGCTGCTATAAACATGGGTGCACATATATCACTGTGATATGATGCTTTCAAATCTTCTGGGAAAATACTCAGAAGGGGAATAGCTGGGTTGAATGGGACTTCTAGACCTAGTTTGCTGAGGAATCCCCAAACTGATTTCCACAGTGGTTTCACCAGTCTGCATTCCCACCAGCAGTGGAGAAGGGTTTTTATTTCTCCACAGCCTCGCCAGCATTTGTTATTGGTTGATTTCTTAATGCTAGCCATTCCTACTGGGGTGAGATGAAATCTCAGTGTTGTTTTAATTTTCATTTCTCAAATGACTAATGATGTTGAACATTTTCTCATGTATGTATTTGCCATTTGTATTTATCTGCGAAGTGTGTATTCATCTCAGCTGCCCATTTTTGAACTGGGTCTTTGAATTTGGGGGGGGGGGCTGATGTTTTTAATTCTTTATATGTTCTAGATAAAAGACCTCTGTCTGAGGGACAATAAGCTAAAATTTTTTCCCAATTTGTGGGTTTTCTTTT